AAATTTTTGTTGCTCCATATAGACCAAATTTTTAATCAAGAACACCACCCACCCACCCACCCCCGGTCAATGGTGTCCCGCTTTACCAATGTTCAAATCTGGTCACCTTACTGATATGGCATCCTCTGACCACAGCCCCCTCTCCTTTCCCCTCACCCATCGTCCCCTTCCCATTGGGTCCACCGTCCCACTCGTGCCACCTGTACCCGTGGGGGCCCTTACCTGCTTCTTGCACGGTGGACATGGGTAGTTCCTGGTGAGACGCTTAGAGGCCCCGAGGACAGGGCTGGGCAAAGCCCTCTTGTGCTCCAGCAGAAGATGGGCAGAGGGTGGCGTGAGGGACCAGGATGGAGCGAGAAGGCCACCCCCGAGGAGCCATCTCGGCCATGGGAGGCTGCCAGGAGCTGGCCCCTCAGGGGACAGAATGCAGCCTCACAATCCCCGCCAACCCCAAGATTCTCAGTTCTGAGCTTGGAGTCCTGCGGGCGGAAGAGGGTCCCGGGCGATGTGGAACATTCTGGAGGGAAACTGCCTAATACCAGTGCTGAAGGATGCCTTGAGACAATACCGTGACTTGTGAGAAGTGGGGACCTTAGGGTAAGCCCCGTTGAGACACAATGCAACAAGGCACTGAAGACAAGTCCTGGCTCAGCCTTTCCCCTGTGGCCCTAGAAAGTGTCGCTGGGCGCAGGTGAGGTAAGGAGCCCCATTCACGAGGGACCAAGAACTAACAAACCATGCTCACTGCCAGCGACCCTTCAGGACAGGGTAGGTCTGTCCCTGTGGGTTTCCCAGACTCCCTCTGTAGAAACCCTCGTCTTCCCCGCTTCCCGGCGGGGCCACAAGCCAAGCATCTGTCGGAGGGCAATCATCCAGCCCTCTGTGTGGGCTGTCGCCCTCTCAGGTCTCTCAGGCTGCTATCGCAGATCTAGGAAAGCGGGATATGCCTTTCTCCTTGTCTGCCAGAAGAGGTGCCCCCAGGGATGGATGCAAAGAGAGTGTTAGGATGCCAGAGAGCAGGGGTTGGTGGATGGCACCCAGTGGGAAAGGGCACTGCCCACGCCCTGGGCTAGGGGGTCCTGTTTTCACGGAGGGCTGACCCTACGCTGGGTATGCCAAACCTGATGGCTAGCCTCTCTCAGTGCTGGAAGCGGGAAACCCAAGTCACGGCATGAAGGTGACAGCAGGGCTCCTTCCTGCTGGAGGCTCGGAGTGAGAGCCTTCCATGCCTGTCGCACAGCTTGTGTGTGTGTGGTGGTGTGTGTCTCGTGATCCTCGGCTTGTGGCCTCATCACTCCATCTTCGCCTGATCTTCTGAAGAGGGCACCAGCCACTGGGTTCAGGGCTCCCTCTACTTCAGGATGGCCTCACCTTTAGCTCATTGCCTCTGCAAAGACCCCCGTTTCCAATTAAGGTCCCTGTTCTGTCCACACAGCACGCTCTGCTTCCCAGCCGGGTGCCAGCCCTGGCCGACACACGGTGTGGGGCCTCAGATGTTAGACTTGATTCTGGGTCTGTCTGACCTGCTGGTTCCAAAAGTGACACGAGGCTTCCCCTGTCAGATCTAGTTTTTGGAGGAGGAGAACGTATGCTATATGCCACTCTTCACCCTGCTTGCCCATACGAAACACCAGGGCATCTGACTGTAGTGTTAGCCAGCCTGCGATAGAGGACGCGCCCGCGGACTTTCTTTAGTTATGTTGGACTGAATAGTTAAGTCAGGCGATACTTCACATGGTGTCCTTTGATCCAAAGATATAGATATTTGAACAAATTACATGAACTTGGAATTTTCCCCAAGTATCACTTCACCAGTGTCAAGAACTGAAGAATTCCCACTTGTTCCCTTAAAAGGGGCCAGGAACAAGAGTTACTATACAAACAATGGACAGCCGGTGGCACAGGAGCTACACATTAGGCCACTAACCACATGGTTAGCAGTTCAAAACTACCAGTCACTCTGAAGGAGAAATATGCAGCTTTTTACTCTCATAGAGCATTAGAGTCTCAACCCATCGCAATGAGTGATGTATTAAACCCCACTCACACCCCAAGGGGGAAGAACAGAAACGAGGGTGAAAAAAATACAACAGGAACAACAGAAACGGACAGTATCAGATATGAAAATGCTAACTGATAATTTATCAAGGGTTTATGAGGGGATGGGGAAGAGCTGATACCAAGGGCTCAAACAGAAAGAAAATGTTTTCAAAATGATGTCAATCTATATACAAATGCACTTGATACAATTGATGTATGGATTGTTATAAGAGCTGTAAGAGCCCCCAATAAAATGATTTATTTAAAAAAGAAAGAAAAAAAGAATTAGTCTCAGAAACCCACAGGGGCAGTTCTACTCTGTGCTGTGGGGTCACCGAGTCAGAATCCCCTCGATGGCAGTGAGGTGGGTTTGTTTGGGTAGAATGACTGAGCAGTCCTGATGGCAGAGTGGCTGATGTGTTTGACTGCTAGCCACAGGGTCAGCTGTTCGAGCCCACCAGCCACTCTGCAAGAGAAAGATGAGACCTTCTGCTTCCCTAATATTTACAGCTTCGGAAATCCACGGAAGTTCCCATTTGCCCTATAGGACCTCTATGAGTTCTGTACAATAAGTAGAGATCCAAAATGGGTCTGTCAGAGTCCAAGTTCCTTTATGAAATATGCCTGTCTTGTTATAAAACAGCACAACTTCTCCACCTGTGCACAGAAACTCTCAAAGGGCAAGTCAGAACTTTTCTTATCAAAAAGCTTGGAGCCAACTTCACTTCTGAAACATTTAACGTGAATTATCCAGGGACCTCTGTCTATTAAACTGTGTTGTGAAATGCTCACTGGATAATGCGAAGCAGAAAACTCAGGTCTTCCAAATACTTACGGAACTTGCTATGAAGGCTTCCAGTTTTGACACTGAATTGCCCTCACACCTTCCATATATGTTCCCTTTTCAATTTTGTTTTAGTTCCCAGTCTTCTCACGCTGTGGTCTGGCGCTGCAGTATCTAACTTGTGGTCTCTTTACTTATGGCACAGCCTCCCATAGCACAGAGAGAAAGAACCCTGCTGCCGTCGAATCCATTCTAGCTCACAGTGACTCTTGAGCACAGAGAACTGCCCCTTTGGATTCCCAAACCTTTCAGTCTTTTAAAGGCTACAGACAGACTGGTGGGTTCGAACCACTGCCCTTATGCTTGGCAGCTCAATATGTAATCAACTAGCTACCATGGGTCCAAACACAGCTTCTCTTGGAAGTCCCTTAATAGCTCATTCTTTTTCAAATATTTCTTACCCTTTTTTTGTCTTATCCTGTAATTTGTGAGTCTGAATTCTTCCCATATTTAAAACCAGGATGATAAATGAATAAATTAGTGTAACTTGATAGCTGAAAGTATCGTGGAACCCCATACCTAAGAAACTGGAGCCGATGCGGTCTAGACACTGCAGTTTTCTGAATCGGCACCGCAGATGCCCCAGGAACAGCCGAAACCAAAACCACCGAGGGAAATGCTGCTGCTGTTCAGCTGTTGACTGCATGGCTCAAAGGCGACACTGCTCAGAATGTTCTGCTGGAGGTTAGCCTGACGATCCAGGTGAAAAATGCTCAGGATGCAGTTGTTCAGTCGGGACACGGGGCAGGCCTTTGGCCTCTTCTGGCAATGCTACGGAGCTCCTACAGGACTACCGATGAATGCCCAAAGGGCACGTGACACTGTAAGCTGCAACCCGAAGGCACTCGCTCCAGCTCTGTGGGGCAGCAAAACCCAGATCCCCCAACTGAGTGCCCAAGGCACCCACTCTACAAGCCAGCCACGTGCTTGACTTGCTCTGTGGGCTGGGCAGTCCACTGCTCTGCCTCCTGCCCCAGCTCCTGCCGCCGCCCTGGCTGGGCCTCCGCCGCTCTCTGCTGGCACAGCGGTCTCCCAGGTCAAGGGGGCTCAAAACGCACGGATCTTGGGGTCCAAAGGATGTGCTCCCTTCCTGGCTTCTACTTTTGCGGATACTGAGATGCCCCCCACCCCTCCTGTTCCCAAGAGGACTCTTCATACCCTGCAGAATGGCAGTAGCAATTATCCCTGTTCACAATCAGTCACAGTTCAATGATACAACCCAATCAGTATCGTCCCCCACAGTATCTTACCAGACCCGACAGGAAGCAAAGGGAAGTCATTCGGTGGAAGTAACATGGGCTATGGCTCAAAGGGCCAGAATAAAACAACGCACTGCCTTGCAGTCACATTCTGAGGTTCTAGTTGGACATGGGTTTTTAAGAAGACATTATTCAATCTAGTATAAAAAAGAAACAAAAACCCCACTGCAATTGAGATGGTGTGGACTCACAGCGACCCTGTAGGACAGGGCAGAGCTGCCCTGTGAGTTCCTGAGGCTGTGACTGTGTGGAGCAGAGAGCCCTGGCTGCCTCCCACAGAGATGCTGGTGGTTTCAACCTGCCAACCTTATGATTAGCAGCCCAACTTGTCACCACTACACCACCAGGGCTCCCAGCCCAGCACACTGGGTAAAATGATACTTGATTCTAGTTGCTATGTTAACAGGTCAGAAATCCTAACAGGTCCCACTATGGTGAGCGGTATCTGGGATCTTAAAAGTTTATGAGTGGCCACCTGAGATTCAACGACTGGTTGTTAACCATCTAGAACCCAGGGGAAAGAAGGAAACCTATGAGAAGGAACGAGACTGGAGAACCAAGTGTCTCCACACACCTGGAGACATGGTGCCTGGCTACCACCACTGAGCACTGGAAGAATGTGAGACAGATCTTCTCACTCTTTTTTCTAATCATTTTATTGGGGGCTATACAGCTCTTATCACAATCCATCCATCCATCCAGACTGATGGACCTGAGGCTGGAAGGGTCCCTGAGACTATGTCCCGTTGCTCTTCAAACCGTGAAAGGAAACTATCCCGACATCTCCTTTAAACTCAGTAACACAGTTCAGCCTAAAAAGTATAGCCGGTCACCCTTGATTATTGTGTTTCTTTACGTTAAAGAAAAGCACACAGACCCAAAGGAGCAGCAGCTACGTGAATCTGCGTAAAGCGGTTAGGTCAGGGGGCCGACGGATGAAGCCGATGGATACGGAACAACCAGAAACGCAGACAATGAGAACGCTGAAACAACTTGGAGGACGGAACCAATGCCACTGGCCGTTCTAGCTGAGGGGTTTGGCTATGGATGTAAATAGAAATAAACAAACATTTGAAAACTGCTAACAGGTGTGGGACATGG